CGCTGGTAAACTTCTTACTCGGAGTTCTTGAAGAGCTTTTGGGTGGTCATGGAGGAATTTGACAGCCATCATCGTAGTTGTAGAGACCGTTTCATAGCCCGAATAAATAAGAGCAATGATTAAATCTATGATTTGTTCTTCAGTAAGTTTAGATTTCATACTATCATCACTCTTGAGTAGAAGATCAAGCATGTCAATCTGGGAGCACTCAGAAGTCATCCTCTTGGCAATTATCTCCTTTAAAATTTCAACAATCTTCCTTCTTGCCTAAAGATATTGGAGTATTTACGAATCAGTTAAAACACACACACAATCACACAATCACACAATCATGTCTTTAAAGATTGCATGCATTGGAACATGATTACAGAAATAATTACCTGAAAAGCGCGCCGATAATTTGTTCCAGGAAGATTGATGGGCAATGATAGAGTTCCCAGAACAAGCTGAAATACCTCAATTTTGAGGGCTTCAGAAACGAGTCCATTTTCAATGCCAGCAATCTGTTTCAGAGCTGAGTACAGTGCCATCTGTTTACCAGAAAGAATAATGCTTATTAGCAATATAAAAATAAAGATTACATTTATGTTTCAACTCTAAACATTTGTTAATTTTTCAGTAACATAAATATCATTTGCAGTTCCAACTTCCTTTTTCACCAGAGACAAAAGGAAACTTTATGCAACCCTCAAATAGTAATCTGAAAATCTTAAAGGCAAAAGGCTTCACCAACCTCTTTTGTTTTCTCCTGGATATCAATAACTTTATCATTCCAATTACTAAGATGTGACCTCATGAATTCATCAATTATAGGAAGAAGGTGTTCTCTCAGCATGGAAGGATTGATGAGACCAAGCATGGCATTCCTCATAGACTTGTGAAGAGGACCAGTAACAGCAGCAATGTTACATTCCCCTAAAATATCCAGCATAGATTTTGGGTATCCAGGTACAAGTCCTTTGCTTTCATTCATTAGGATGTATCTGTTGATCTCCAGATCCATGCAGACTACAGTCGGACATCCAAGTATATGTGATTTGAACAAGTTTCCATACCTGTGAATTTTTTCA